TTAAGAAAAGACTGCATTCTAAGAATTGAAGAAGAAAGATTATAAAGCTCTATTTATAATCCATCAATGTGTGGATCCAGATGATTTTGAAAAGGTTAGTGATGTAGAATCAACGAAGGAAGCATGAGAGATTCTTGAAAAGTTGTTTGGAGGCGCAAAAAAGGTGAAAGAGGTGAGGTTACAAACTCACAAGAGAACCTATGAATTGCTTCAGATAGAAGAAAGTGAAAGTTTAGCAGATTTCGTCACTAGAATTACAAAGCTGGTGAATCATATCAAGGTATGTGGAGAAGTGTTGACATCAAGATCAGTTATTGCAAAGATCTTGAGGTCGTTAGCTCTAAAGTTTGACCATGTGGTAATAGCCATAAAAGAGTCGAAAGAATTGTCAACATTGACGAAGGAAGAGCTTTAAGTGACGCTTGAGTCTCATGAACAAAGGATGGCTGAGAGAGATGTAGGAAAGTCGAAGAGTGATATGACTTTGCAAGCGCAGTCAGAAAAGGAAAGGAAAGGAAAAGGAAGCTGGAATGACAATAAAGGTAGAGGAGAGTACAACAATTTGACTGGTCGAAATCAGCAGGAAGGAAACTGGCCGAATCAAAGAAAACCCTAGAACCAAGGCAACCAAAGAGGTGATGCTGTAGGTAGAGGAAGATGTGGTGGACGAAAGCCTGACAAAAGTCACATTCAGTGTTTCAATTGTCAGAAGTATGGTCACTATTTTAGTGAATGTCGAGAAAAGAAGAATCAAGAAACCGATGCAAAAATGGCAAAGCATGAAGAAGAAGAGATGTTGTTAATGGTCACAACAAGAGACAAAGAGAGATTCCAGGACCTGTGGTACTTGGACCAGGATGCTCATCACACATGACTGAAAGAAAAGATTGGTTTATCAACATGAATCCCTCGTTGAAGAACATGGTAAATTTGCAAATGACAATACTCTAGCATCTGAATGTATTGGCGATGTTTTGATTATGAGGAAAGATGGCAAGAGGTCAACAATTTCCAATGTGTTATACATACCAGGCATGAAGAGTAATTTTCTTAGTATAGGACAACTAGTCGAAAAGAACTACAAGGTGTCGATCAAAGACAATATGATGAGAGTTCTCGACGCAGGTGGTAGGTTTATCTTGAAGGCTCCAATGTCTCAGAATAGGATCTTCAAGATTGAACTCAATGTGATGGAGCACAAGTGCCTAAGAATTGCATCCAACAGAGATGAACGGTTATGGCATTTTTTACTAGGCCATCTCAACTTCAATGACATCAGAGAGCTAAAGAGGAGAAATATGGCTTCAGGATTACCTGAAATTGACATTCCAAGTGAAGTTTGTGAAGAGTGTGTTCAGTCGAAACAACACAAGAATAACTTTAGCAAGGATGCAGGAAGGAAGTCGAAGGCAATTCTAGAAGTCATATACTCTGATGTATGTGGTCCAATCCAGGTAGATTCGATTGCAGGAAACATATACTTTGTCACGTTCATAGATGATTACAGTCGAAAGCTATGGACTTACCTCATCAAGAAGAAAAGTGATGTGATTAAGGTATTTTCCAGATTCAAATCTATGGTCAAAAGATAGAATGGTCGAAAGCTAATAATTTTGAGGACTGATGGTGGTGGAGAGTACGTGTCGAAAGAGTTCGATGCATTATGTGAAAAAGAAGGAATTGTGCATGAGGTGGTGCCACCCTACACTCCACGGCAAAATGGAATTGCAGAAAGAAAGAAAGAACATAACCATCATGAACATGGTGAGAAGTATGTTAAATGGAAAGTATCTACCCAAATAATTATGGGGAGAATTAGTTTCGACAACAACATACATATTAAACAGATGTTCGATGTAGAAGCTTGAAGGAATCACACCAGAAGAATCTTTGTCTGGTGTCAAGCCTAGCCTCAGTCACTTGAAGGTGTTTGGACCTATAGCACATAGACACGTGCCAAATCAGTTGAGAAGGAAGCTTGATGATAAGTCGAATCAGATGATCTTGATAGGATATCATTCGACTAGTTAGAACTAGTGAATAAGCAGGTAGTGATCATAGATGAGCTTAAATAATGAGATTGGATTGAGAAGTTCAGGAAGGATTCAGTGAAAATTCTTGTGAAGAACCAGCCACTGAAGTTGAAAGTGAAGTTCGACAGGAATAAGTCAGAGATGAAGCTGGCCCAAGCAGACCTCGACGAACAAGACACATGCCTGCAAGGTTGAAAGAATATGTGATTACATCAGATGATGTGGTCGATGAAGAAGGTAAGCTGGTACACATGTTTTCTACATAGATGTCGAAAAAATCAATGCAGTTGAGGCATTGAAAGATTCAAAGCGGGTGAAAATAATGAATGAGGAGTTAGACTCCATCGAAGTTTATATTGCACAGTCGGCTGGGTTTGTGAAACGAGGCGAAGAAAGAAAGGTGTACATGCTACATCAATCTCTGTATGGACTTAAGCAAGCTCCAAGAGCTTGGAATAAGAAAATTGGCAGCTTCTTAAGGGAGAAGGAATTTGTGAAGTGTACGATTGAGCATGAAGTGTATGTAAGAAGAAGCAGTAGTGAACTGCTTATACTATGCCTCTATGTCGATGACATGTTGATAACAGGAAGTTGCAATAAGGAGATCGAAGACTTCAAACATAACTTGAGTGAGGAGTTTGAAATGTCAGACTTGGGAAATCTCTCATATTTCCTTGGCATCGAATTCTACAAGAGTAGTAGAGGATTGATGATGCACCGAAGAAGATATGTAGACGAAATACTCAAGAAATTTGAGATACAAGATTGCAACCCAACTTCGACTCCAGCTGAGACTAAATTGCAACTGTCGAAGGATTCAGATGAAGATGATGTCGATCCAATCCAATATAGAAGACTTATTGGGTCACTTCGATACCTTTGTCACACAAGGCCTGACTTAGCATATAGTGTGAGTATGGTAAGTAGGTTCATGCAGAAGCCAAAGGTATCACACCTAGCAACGATGAAGAGGATATCAAGGTATCTGAAAGGGACTCTCGACTACAACATTTTGTTTCCTGCAACTGATGAAGGAAAAGAATGCAAGTTAGTGGGATACATCGACTTTAGTTGGTGTAGTGATGCTGAGGATAGAAAATCCATAGTTGGCTATGTGTTTATGCTAGGTGGTGCACTAGTTGCTTGGAGTTCGAGAAAGGAGCCAGTAATGGCATTGCCATCATGCAAAGCAGAATATATAGATGCTTTTCTTTGTGCATGTCAAGCAACCTGGATGATGAACCTGGTCGAAAAGATCACATCGAAGAGTCATAGAGCAATTACCATGAAGGCCGACAACATGTTAGCTATTAACTTGGCGAAGAATCCAATAGTACACGATCGAGGAAATCACATCGAAATGAGGTTCCATTATATTTGAGAGCAGGTAGTAGAAGGGAAGATGAACTTGGAACACTGCAGAATTGAGAATTAGATTGCAAACATCATGATGAAGGGAGTGCTAGTCGAAGTGTTCAAGAAGCTACGGTCTACAAGACTTTTTCTCAGACTCACAGTCTAAGAATTTCTACTCAATCAATAACTGATCAAGACCTTCAATGCTCTAGCTCATAGCAGAAGACTTACTTAGCTCAAGCTTCTCAGTAAGATACTTTAATGCTCAAGCACATAGCAAGAGACTTTATCTAAACTACTAAACAACATGTTTAACAGAATAGAGAACAAAGTGTACATGATACAAAATCATACGTACAAGGTAATCACCATAACAAAGACCTTAATCACTTAAGATTTCTAAGATATTCAATGTTTAAGAAATCTTAAGGCTTTGTACAATTTACAATAAATAACAAAATATCTGCATACTCGATTGTGTTGCTTATTGTTGATCTTGTTATTCCTCCATCTAGATAAAAGTGTAAAACACTCTTATCCTTGTTGGCTTTCCTTCTCTATTTGATCCTTGTTCCTTGTTTAAAATTCAAATTGAATCTTCAGCTACTTATATAGTATTTGTAGAAGACTAGTCGTTGGAAGAGATAACTTGAACAGATGTCTTTGTTTTTTCATAGTACAATAGTTGTTGAAGATAGATACACCAAAATATCTTAATCCATTGTGTAACTTGTTTAACCATTGCGTCTTCCATGTAATATTGTACTATAGATCCGGTGAGAATAGATATCCATAAAGCATGTCAACTCTTCTTGAGCCTTGTGGACATAGACTCTAGCTGACAAACTGATTTGACAATGCAACTTGGTCTCTGCAGTACGGATAACTTAAGCTTTATTACTAACTCTTAATGTTCACCAGAAGCTGATACATTAACTTAATGTAGAGACAATATGTTACTCTTATGATGTTAAGACCTTCAGCTTCAGAGTCTACGCCAGACATCACTCAGAGAGTGTTCTTCAGATTCTGATTCACCAGAAGCTAGTAACTCAGCTCCTCTCAAATGCGTCCGTATATCAGATTCTTATGCGTTCTTTTTAAGCTTTAGAACCTGCATACTTGGAACACACATTAGATAACACCTTTGTTATTTCAATACTTTGTTATCATAAAAAACAAATGGATATATGTCATGAACAAATCTTGTTCTAACAAATATACACGGATTCACTTAACCCACATGTTGTCAGTTTTTCTGCAAACATTCCACAGACATTTCAACATAGTTACAATGTTCCACACTTCCAGATTTATCACATTATAGCCACCTTGATTAATTTTGCTACATGTCTTCTTCCAATCCACAGGGTATTTTTTGTTGATCTATGAATTTCCTGTCTAGATGAAAGACCTGCAAATAGAATATATCTTCTGCACCACCATTTTTGGTATTGGGAAACATTACATCTAATACTGAGCTTTGGCCAAAGAGGTGATTTTAACCAGCTGAATTCTTCCTGCAATACTGAGTAACTTTATGGCGTAGTTCTTTACTCTACCTGTAATCCTCTCCACCAAGTGCAAATAATGGTTAATGCTCAGCTTCTTTCAAGACAGAGGCAAACCGAGGTATCTCACAGGTAATTGACCTTCTTCAAATCCAATAACATTTAACAGAGCTTCCTTTGTAGTATTATCCACTCCACCATAATAAATCTTGCATTTACTGGGGTTAACAATAAGCCATGTGGATTCATAAAACTTCTTGAAAGCTCCATTTATCATTTCCATAGATTTTTGGTCCCCTCTGCTGAAAAGCAAGACATCATCAACAAAGGTTGGATGTGTGAGGGCTAACTTCTCACACTTGGCATGGTGATTGAAGTTTGGGTCCTTATGTATCTTAACCATAATTATATTCATACACCTCATCATAATAACAAATAACAAGGGGGATATAGGGTCCCATTGCCTAATACCTCTTCTAGCCGGCAACACATAAGAATAATCCCTGTTTATATTAAATCTATAGGAGACAGTAGAAGTAGCAATCATGATCTAGTCAATAAATTACTTAGGTATACCAATTTCCTGTAACACACAAACCAGAGATGTTCAGTCCATCATATCATATACTTTTTGCAAGTCTAGTTGCATCATACACATAGGGATACCTCCCTTCCTAGTGTACCCTCTCATCAACTCAAAATCCAAAAGGATATGATTATGAATGACCTGCCCAAGAATAAAGGCTGCTTAACTATGATGAACTACTGCATGAAACACCTTTCCTAACTATTAGTAATAATTTTAGAGATGAATTTGTAGAATGTAGTGCACCTTGCAATTGGCCTATAGTCTCTTATGGTCTTGGTATGTTCATTTTAAGGGATTAAAGTCACCATAATGCTATTAAAGGCTTTAAACATGACACCCTTCTCAAAAAGATTCCTGGATTGCAGCAGTGACATCACTCTTTATAATATGCCAACTTGTCTTGAATAACTTAACTCCATAACCATCAATTTTTGGAGCTTCTAGATCACCAATCCTCTGTAAAGCTTTGACTATTTCTTCATCAGTAACTTTGCCCACTAAATATTCTCTTCGTTCCATGTTAAGCTGTCTACCACTTCTCATGACTTCAATATTAACATGCTTCAAATTGCTAGAAACCTTACCCATTATATTGCCATAGAAATCTATCACTTCTTTATGAATATTAGTTTGATGTATGAAAATACTCCCATCTTGCCTATGCAGGACCGTCATGCTATTTTCCTATTAAGAATGTGAAGTATCACCAAGAGTAATATTAATCAATTAAGAATATGACAAGCACATGGCATGTATAGTGCTCTAGGATTAATTTTTTTAAAAAATCTCTTTTGAACACCTTAATGTTTTCCTTTCATATTAGAATCATTATCACAATTTTCCCCCTCACATCATCAACATTAAGATCAAGAGCATTTAAAACATTTAATAATTCATGAGAAAGTCCTAACCCAAATGTATAATAAACTTTTAAAATTTTTAAAAATAATTGCTTAATCTTTATTTTATTATTTGTCATATTCAAACAATGAATCATAAGATTCATTTGTTCAGGATTAGGGCTGAAAATGAGTCGAGTCGAGTCGAACTCACCTCAGCTCGGCTCGACTCGTCAAGAATTGGTTCGAGTTCGAGTTCGAGTTCAACACAAACTTTTTTTTAAGCTCAAATTCGACTCGTTATAAGTTCACGAACAATTCGGTTTAACTCGTTAGGTTCATCTCATTAGGTTCAGCTCACAAGATTCACGGACTTAAAAACTATTTTTTTAAATATATATATTTTTTAGTATATTTGACATTTTAAATAAATATATATTTTTAAAATAAAATATTAAAATAAAATAAAAGTTATCATATTGAAATTTAACTTTATCTTCGAAATCTACTAATTCAAAACCTACACAATTTTAAGAGATACATTTGAGAGTCTAATTCAAAAAATACTAAATTGAAGATTAAATTTGTCTAAGATTTAGAGTAAATATTTAAACCTAATCTTAAAGACAGTATAATTCTTCTCATATGTGAAAATTCTGGAAAGCACACGATGGATGTTATTCCCAATGTTATAACATCCACTGTGACATCTGCTACTTAACAGCTAATGCTCAGCAATAAAAGCAGTAAATAGCACAACAATTATTTACCCAGTTCAGTGTCAACAACACTTACATCTGGGGGCTACCAAGCCAGGGAGGAAATTCACTATCAGTAGAATCAATTCAGAGTTAAACCTCCAGTTTACACTCCTCACTTAATCTCTACCCAATAACACTTCAACCTAGAGACACTCTAGACCTGAGTATACCCACTCACTCCCCCTCAATCACACAACATTGATATTAAACAATTACAATGCAAAACAGTATGAAGAGACACTTCACACACACACCTTGATCTTGCTTCACAACTTTGATCAAGGAACACACACACTCTTGCTTCACAGCTTTGAGTGAGACACAACCTAGAATCTACCTAACCAATGCAATCATCAACCAGACAATTGCTTGGATTACAAGTATTCCTAAGCAGAATTCACACGTGAAGACTATCCTTCTTCACTAACACAGGACTCTGCAATCTGCACTCTTTTTCCTTCTGTTTTCAAGTGCTACCCTTCAAACTTGCTCCTTCTGATATTTATAGCCGCTTCAGTCCTTTGGGCCTTGGTGCATAAATTAGGTTTTATCCATAATAAAACCTCTCTTCAGTATTCTGCACGCTTGCCACTTTAATCAGGTACATATTAGTTCCCCTAGGGCTTCTAAAATGTCTCCTGCATTCCAGCTTGAGCTTCTGATTTGTTTCCTGAGTTCTAGCTACCTGAATAACCAACCTACGCTTGATGTCATACGACCTATGTCATAACATTGAGTATGACATCCAACTTAACTTATAGTTAGCTGAGCTCACTTACGCTGCACAATCTATATTTTGAATGTATCAACATCAGACATGACATTCATACATACACTAATGTTTTGCCACAAAATGCAGCTAATCAAGAGCAATCAAGAGCACTTATAAACTCCCCCTTTGGCAAATTTTTGGCTAAAACACTCAGTACTTACACCAGATATTTACACACAGCAGAAGACTTAACATATGTCCTGTCATGCAGGTAAGTCACTTGCTGCTCAAGCTCTCAGAGTCCTCACAGTTGGCTTACAGCCCCGTTAACACTCACCTTGTTAGCCATATGTTTGTTATTACTACAGATGTCACTCTTTGCTAAGTGAGTAACACATAGAGTTACTCCCCCTCAACTGATGCAACTCACAAGCTAAACACTTTACCTGCACATCCTGCAGTCATATAGACATCCAGTCTGATCTGGATGTTATGACATTCAGCATAATCTTCTGATGTCACACACCTATGCTGCTCCCCCTGAAGGGATGCACACTGCTCTCATTCTGCTTACACCTTGCAGACACATATATGGTTAGCATCCTAGTTCTACCATACAACCCTACTCAACCTAGTCCTTCATATATATCATCAGCACAATCCTATACTAACAACCCTAATCAGCTGTTATCACACATATCTTCAGCAGCACCTGCAAGTATGATTATGTCATGTATGCACACTGGTACATATGCTCTAGCTATGCACTAGCCAGTCTTCAACTTGTTCTCCCACTTGCTTGACCTTCTTTTTTCTATTTTCTATCATGCTCTCCCCCTTTTTGGCCACAAATTAAGATCCAACTAAGTACTTAGCACAGATCATTCATTGTAACATGACAATTGTTAGAGGTTATATTACAAAAAGGTAACTCAAGCAGAGCATCAAAAAAATCAGTGGTTTACACAAGATTCATATGATTCTAACTTATCAACCAGCAGTACTCCTTTGTGTACCACTTCATCCATCAACAGTGTCTGTTGCAAGTCATCAATCCTCTTCTGCAGCTGGGATGGACTCGTCCCCACCAGTTTCTCCAGAGTTGTCTGTTGTAGTGTCACTTCCTCTCCCTGAGCAGTCATCAGCATCTTCTGAACCAGCTTCTTGACTACCATCTTCCCTAGTACCATCATCTTCCTTGGGAGCATCTTCTGAGCTGTATGTATCCTCATCTTGTTCAAGAGACTGTAGCAGCTTTTCAAGTGTTTTCTTCCTTGCCTCCAGTTCTTTGCATGTGTCTTTAATGATTTCCATGACTTCAGCCTTTTTGGTTTTGGGACCCTTATTGGATGTCTCAGCTGAAGTTGAATCAATGTCAGGAGCATGCATTCCTTTAAACAATTTGTAATTGAATGACAAAGTAGTTTCTCTCTTGCATACTATATCACTCTTTTTGATGATGTTGGGATGCTGATCACAGATGATTCCACATATAAGTGATGGAAAGGCAATATGTCCCTTGACACTGTAGCTCCCAGCATGCTTCATTGTTTGCTTAAGAATGTAGGTCCCATAGTTGAGTACATCTTTTGTCCCTACAGCATACAAAAATCTTCCCAGAATAGTAGCAACAGTCGTTTTACCTTGTAGGCACCCAATTGGCTGCACCAATTTTTTGAAGCATAACATATTTCATACTAAGTTTGCTAGCCACTAGCTTCCCTTTGGAGGGCCAGTTCTTGACTTGTTTAGCAGTTATCTCTTGGCACACTTGATGGTCAGATAAAGTAAGTTCAGACTTTCCTGCATGTGGTCTTCCCAAATACTTATTGATGATGGAGTCCGAGAAATTTATACACTCTCCTCTCACATGTACTTTTCCAAACTCGCTAGACTTCCTATCAGCACATGCTTCTAACAGGTTCACTATGAATTCTTTCACAAGAATCTCATAACATGGTGGAAAATGAGTGACAGTCTTCATCAGGCCTGCCTTATGAATAAGGCCAAGGATCATTTTGCAGTCAAGAGCAGTTTGAGCTAACTCTCTTTCCAAATCCAACCTCTTTTGATACACAAATTTCCATCTATTAACACATGATGGATAGTGGAAAGATATATTATCAATAGGCACCTCAGGGATATTTTCAGCCAGCTTGCTGAAAGCAGGTTTCCTTTTAGATTGGGTGTATGTGACATCTGTAACACCCCGTTCCCAAAATAAAATAAAACAATCAAATAAAACACATATCAGAGTTTCTCTCCCAAACGGGATGCCACAATACACATCAAAATATCCACAAATATTTTTCCAAATAATTTAACCGAATTTTTTTTTCAATAAAATTGCAGCGGAAAAAGATATGGTCTGTCATAACACAAAATATCATATACATACATCATCCATATCCATCATCATCATATATACAATAACGACCATCTGCCCCAAAATACATATCATCATTACCGATCAACATTAAACATCTCACAAAATATCAGATATGCCACGGGGGCACACATATCAAAAATACACAAGAATACTCCCCAAAACGCCCCGGTATTACGTATCAGAGCAGTCCTATGGAGACACCACAATCCAACTAGCTAGACACCTGGATTGTCTGTACTTCTGAAGAAGCACAAACCACAACAGTAAAAAAGGGGTGAGAATCACGATCAAATAATAATGGCATAATAGTACATGAAATAAAAGGCAGAAATCAATAATAATATTATTTCATATACATATCATTCGGACTCACGGTCCCACCATCAACCACAATATACAATCACGCAACAAATGCACTCACACAACTCTTAACATACGGTACCGACTCACAATCACGATGGGCACCGGGACATCAACCCTCCTCACAGGAGCACATATCAACGACGGGCACTTGGCCATCAACCCTCCACTCAGGGAGTACACCACACTGATGGGAAACTGGCCATCAACCCTCCACAATGGGAGCACCACAACAATACCGATGGACACCTGGACATCACCCTCCACAATGGGAGCACATCTCCGATGGACACCTGGCCATCACCCTCCACTACGGGAGCACCTCATCAACATCGATGGACACATGGCCATCACCCTTCTCACCGGGAGCACAACACATTAACATCGATGGACACATGGCCATCACCCTCCTCACCGGGAGCACACCAACAATACCGATGGTCACTGGGCCATCACCTTCCACTACGGGAGCAGAACAATTAATGTCGATGGACAACTGGCCATCACCCTCCTCTACGGGAGCACACAACAATATTCACACGCATCAAACATCTAGCACACCAAGTGCACACCGATCCTATTAATCCACCCCTCACACAACATATACATGACGC